ATGGAGAAGGCGATCCAGGTCTTGGAGGAGAGCATCAAAAAGTCCAACGGCAACATGGTCACCAAGATGAGCGTACTGTGGCATACCTTTTTGTGCAAAATGTTTTTTTTTTTCGACAGCGTTGTACCTGTGTCTTAACTTGAAAACCTTTTTTTTTATTGATCCCAAATAGCCCAAGGCTGTCACGGAAGCCGACGACATGGAGTTGGATCAGCTCTTGGCAAGGATTGACAAGGAGAACGCAGAAGTTTCGGGAGACGATGATGATTCAGGATCGGATGCTGATATGTAAAGGGTGCACATCATTGGAACAATACACGACGCGCCTTTTTTTTTTTTAGTTTGGTTGTGTTCTATGAAGTTTGGTGCAGAGAAACATAAAACAAACAAAAACATTCTGACTTCAGTTGAGCGACCAAGATTTCATGACGGTATTTCTTGTGTGAGGACTTCTAGAGCAATCGGGAGAAGGCGGGCCTGCTGTCGCAAGCTATACAATAAAATCGCCAAGCTCTACTCAGAAGGATGAAGCGTCGAGAAGGCCAAAAGAACCCCTCCTCACGCTTACCCTTTAAATGCAGAAGACCCGTTGTGGAGTGGATGGACATCTCGGATATTCCGATTTCATCGCAGAGGTCTTTGGATGAGTGTTTGAAAAACAAGAAGGAAGCAGTTGCGGACTGGTGCAGAGCCGAATCCTTCAGAACAGCTGGTGGGCATAGTTTACGTGACTAGAGTGAGTTTTGGTTGCTTTGTTCGTCATCTCTGCATTCAGCACACTTCTTTTTCCATCATTTCTCGTCAGCTCTTCATTCACGCCATTGTTGAAATGTGGTCATTCAAACGGGCTCGCATTAGTCACTACTCCGCACGGCCCACACAGACACGTCTCATAATGGCTCTATATCACAGAGCAGTTTCAATACCAACACGTTCGTCCTCACAGTCGACCATATCATTCTCATCACTCATCCATACATATACCCCCCAATGCGCGGAAACTCACAAATTTCATAGTCCCACTCTTAATCATATACAACACGTCGCAGCAGCAACATTTTCAACCTCCCGACTTTTACTGGACCTACAATCCTTAACAAAACCGGTTCCATATCCCGTGGCTCCTGAAACGAGGCACGCGGTCGTATCTACTTTTGACCTGTTCTCAATTGGAATTGGTCCCAGTTCAAGGTAATGATATCGACCTTTCTTGATGGCAAACGAAACATTGATGAGTTTAAGGTAATCGACTGAACCTGCAAGGCATCATTAGTCACACCGTGGGACCGATGCGCGCAGCAAGGATATTTGTGACAGATCTGAAGCATCACCACGTCCTGGATAAGGTAAAGAATATAAATGAATGGCATCTTGTCAAATTCGGATTCTACAAAGCTGACAGTCTTCTTGGAGAAATCTGAAATAGGTAGCTTCGTTGAGGATTGACCTGTTTGGATCCTTGGCCCTGACTGGAATTGGACACGGCACCCCTGATGCAATCTTAATGGGTAACGAATGACACACGAAGCTGTTCAGTTGGCAGGAGTCTCATCCTGTGATCGACTAATATTTGACAATGACTAGGTATGGAAGGCGAGTCCCCAGAGACCGTTGAGACTTCTACAATCCAGGCACGCGTAAGGGCGATTGGTGAGCGCTGCGCCTTGACGCTCGACTCCACACGACGCATTGCCTTTGACCCAGCCAGAGAATTGGTCTACCACTACCTTGAGTCCTTGCCACAGCACCCCAACGGCATGCGCTTCTGTGTATTTGACGAGCAAGGTGATCTGCTTGCGACCAATGAATACTTTTCCATAGGAGGAGGCTTCGTTGTCAACGATCGCACGCAGCTTGCACACGGTGATAACGCGTTTTACATGGAGGACACTTCCAAGACAGCATCGGTGACACCAGAGGTCGAAACTCTTCTTGTGACGGCCGAGAGACTTGCAGACGAGATTGTCGGCTCTGGGAATGAGCCAAGTATCAAATCATCAATGGGAAAAGTCAACGCCACTAAGGCTGCTGTGCTGGCAGCAGCGTCGACCAAACCCAAAGCGATCCCACAGACACGAAAGAACCAGGATTTGGCTGTAACAGCTGCTCTGCCCTTCAAGAACGCTACGGAACTCATGGAGCTCTGCCGGCGCGAGGACATGACGATTGCACAAGTCGTGTATGAGAACGAACTACGGTGGCGGTCTGCAGCCGAGATTCGGGAAAAGACGTTGGCGATTTGGGAGACCATGGACCATGCAATCAAAAATGGATGTTTGTCGACGGAAGAAATGCTGCCTGGCAGATTGAACGTCCGGAGGCGTGCGCCAGGGTTGTACAAAAAGCTGCTGAAGGGTCTTTACTCAACTACACCGCTGTACAAGGATAGTCGTGGAGGCTTAGTGGCCGCTGGTGATATTGGAGCCATACATGATAGTGTCGATCGACATATACCATCGCGTGAGGTCGAGCGAGTGTTGCCAAAAAGAGCCGTTAAACGACTGATGCTCCCTGCGCTTGATTACCTGAGTGTATATGCGATAGCTGTGAACGAGGAGAATGCCGCAGGCGGCCGTGTAGTGACAGCACCCACCAACGGTGCTGCTGGTGTGATCCCTGCCGTGCTCAAATACTACCTCGAGTTCATATCAGACACGCCCGAGCAGGACATCATGGAATTCCTGCTTACCACCGCTGCCATTGGAATGCTGTACAAGCGGGGTGCCTCCATCTCTGCAGCCGAGATGGGTTGTCAGGGCGAGGTGGGCGTAGCGTGCTCGATGGCGTCGGCTGGATTTGCGGCTGTGATGGGAGGCACTGTGCAGCAGGTAGAGAATGCGGCAGAGATTGGGATGGAGCATAATCTGGGGTTGACGTGTGACCCGATCGAAGGGTTGGTCCAGATCCCTTGCATTGAGCGCAATGCCTTGGGAGCTGTCAAGGCTGTCACAGCTGCCCAGCTGGCGATGAATGGAGACGGACACCACCGTGTAACGCTGGATCAAGTAATTGAGACAATGCGGCAGACCGGGAATGATATGCAGGCCAAATACAAGGAGACGTCGCAGGGCGGATTATCAGGTATGTCGAAAACGCACTTGACAGGACATGTCGTTCATGCCGCTTCTGTGCCGTTGCTGACAACACATGTCTGTGTGATAGTTTGCGTCCCTGTTTGCTGAAACGTCTGTCGGCTGATAATGGGCGCAACTAATTAGGGTGTGTGGAATTGCCCAGGGGGAAGACCTAATCAAACACAGGCACCAACCAGCTCAGACAGGAAATTGTTTGACGATTGCACCCACCAATTGCCAACCGATTGATGGCATCCAAGGACATCCATCGTATGACAAATAAATGGGCGCCTGACCTGCTTTTTAGTCTACCACCAGGAGCCCACTTCTTACCCTTGATGTGTTTCCGAAAGTTTTTGCTATCTGTGCGCTTTGTGTTGGTTAAAAGGGGCATGATCCCTCCTTTCCTTCTTTTTCTTTCTTTCTTTCCTTTTTCTTCACCATACACTCCTTCCTATCCACTCTCCACTCTTTGTTCGCTGCTCATTTACCGTTTCCCTACTTCCCCCACTTCCTTTCACTCTCCCACACACACACCTACAAACAACTACAATGGCTGGCGTTATCGGTCTTGTTCGTTCCAACCCTGCCTTGGCCCCACTTTTCGTTTTCGGAGGCGGTGGTATTGTTGGAGGCATTGCGTAAGTGTCTCTCATCCCCACTGAGCTAGCAACAGAACTGACTACTACTACGGACATGGCAACTAAACCACTCCACTCGTTTTCTAGTTATATTGGTCACTGCTTGGTCAACGGTCCCGATGTTATCATCAACAAGACTGCACCTGAGAAGCCATGGAACCGCATCCAGCCTCACGAGAACGCCAAGGTATGAAAGGAGACTGATACGACAACGCGTTATTCCGTATGTCTTTGGGAGGGTTTTTATTTATCTTTAGGCAAAACAATATTCTATATTGTACTAACTTACAAACACTCCTTCTACCGCTTGTTAGCTCTGGTCCCCGAACAAGGAGTTCTGGGCTGAACGCAAGGAAAGGGCCGAGACTGCCAAGAAGGCTTAAGCTTGTGCGCCTATGCCTATAGCTCCTTTACAACAACAGCAGCTACAACAGGCGGAATGTTGGTAGGACACCAGCGTTTACCCTTCGATCTGTTTCTCTCCACTCTCTTTCTCTCTGTACAGTCCTGTCATGAATAAATAAAAATATCACTTTGACAGCACAAATGAACCTCAGTTCGCTGGACAATTACCTCTGCTTCTCCCACCCACCCTGTTCGTGTTGACTTCGGCTTTTTTTTTCACATCTGCATCTTGGGAAGTTGAACCAAAGGATAAGATTTCCCCCCCACACTCCACTAAAAGGGCGGGCTCAGTTTTCTTTTTCTCCCTTTACCCCACTCTATTGTTTTTGCAATGGTGCGAGGGAAGGGAGGGATAAAAGGCGCCCGTTCATGCAAGAAAAGAAAACAAAAATGGATAAAGCTCGCACTGTCATTGCAAAAAAAAAAACTCTTAGGGTTTACCAGACCGCGGTTGCAGCCGACAGATATCCTTAAAACATAACCTAACCATTAGTGGCGGCTCCACCGTTGCAGCTCACTGCGCTGGGGGTCACTCTCTACTCGACTTGTTGCAGCATACATGGTCAAACTAATCAACTTTGTTTGTCAATAAACATTTAAATCCACTCGTGTTTCCATCACTTTTTTTTTTTTTT